AAATCCAAAAAAATAAAAAAAAAATAAAAAAAAATCAAGCATTCATTTTTACCATGGCAAGCCGACCAGACATAATCTCGAAATCGTGACTCTTCTTGGAGCTCTCCACATAATCCGACAGAGTCCCGAAGAACCTCGAGACCTCGTTCTCCACATTAGCCCTAATCACGCCGCCCCCGCGCTCGCCCCCGAAAGACCTCAGCGTGCAAACCCTAGGCTGCAGCACGATCTTTCCGCCGCCCTCCGCCGCGCCCCTCAGCCTCTGAAACTCCGGCAACGCCGGTTTTTCGGCCCTAATCCGGCAGAGGATCGGCCTCGGAGCGCGCAGCGCCATGGAAATCTCTCTCTGGACGATGATTCAGATCCCGATTTATTGTGGGGAAGTGGTGAGTGAAGACTCCACGTCGCGATAACATGTATAAAAGGGACGTGGATCTTCCATTGGTCGCTAACGTTGTTTTCCAATTTCTATGGAGGGTTTTGTCTACCATTTTTGTTTTGGTTTTTTAGCTTTGATTAAAGATGGTGGGGACGGAGGTAGTTGATTTTATTTATTTATTTATTCTCACGTTTTCTAGTATACAATATTGAGAAATGCTAGAATCCAGTTACGAAACGGAATTTATAACTGTTAGATTATATTACGTAACTGTAAAAAATAATTGATCTAATGATTTTCAATCTGGACGGAACAGTTCCATATCGAACCTTAACATCATAGTACTTGAATTAAGATAATCATATATAAATAACTTAAAAAAGAGAAATATATTACTCCCTCCTATTTTTTTTTTAAATGTCATTCTAACCTTTTCAACTATTTTCCAAATAAATGTCGTTTTGGATCTTTTGTACATATTTTTTCATTATTACCCCGATTTAGCTAATAAATACATTATGTCTTTTCATATTCACTTTTCACTTTTTTCTCAAAACATTTATCTCTATCTTCATTAAATAAGGTTATTATTGAAAAAAAAAATATTTTTAATTAGTGTACAACTTCTCAAAATGACATATATTAAAAATAGGAGGTAGTATTATTTAAAGAAATAATGGTAATGATTAAATAGGTTTTCCCAGTCATTAAATAGTAGTTTTCAAGCTCAAACAAAAAATAGTTTTAATGCCCATATCATAATTGTATTTAACAATAATTTATTTATTTTTTAGGACAGTTGATTGATATGCTTTTTAAAGATGGACGTATTATTATTATTATTATTAGTATTATTATTATTATTATTATTATTATTATTATTATTATTATTATTATTATTATTTTCTCTTTAATATGTGTAGTATGGATTGAATAAAGTTGTGGAAAATTATATTATTAATTTTGTTTAAAACGACACTCATATTACACTAAAAAAAATAATTGAGGGTTAAATTTGATGCAGTGGCGCTTATCTTTTTCACCATACTATAATGACATGATTGGTGTGATGGAATGATATAAGAGTTAAATAATCATTTCGTTACTCCATGATTTCAATATTTTTTTATAAATAAATGATCATTCTCATATATTTAGGATTAAGTTTTTTAAAAAATAAAATAAACAAATACCAATAAAAAATAAATAAGATGCTACTAACAATACAAAAATATATTATTAAAATACAATATATTTTTTTAAAATAAAATAATTTTAGTAGTACCATACGTAAGAAAATAACATTAATATAAATATTAAAATTATTATTTTATAAAATAGCGATGAATGATAATATAAGATGATAATATCATTCCATTCAAGTGTTATTCATTCTGCATACCAATCGCATCAATGGAAAACTTGTTTTATTCATTTTCCGTCATTATTTCATTCTTCAACTCATTCGATTACTATCAAATTTCATTTCATTATACCAATCATACCATAAAAGATTTATCAAGTTATACACACCGTTCGTTGACAATTTAATTTTTTTACTCCAGACCAGGTTATTCACCCCACTATAAAGATTTATTAAGTTACAAATTTACTTTTTTTACTCAGTGCAAAAGATTATGCTACCGAAATGCATAATTGTTGCATATCAACTGCATAACTGTAACATATACACATCGCACAATGTTTCGCACTTTAACCTTTTTCCCCAAGAAAGTGCGAAGGGTTACCGCAAAATATCGTATATTCATCGTATAATTGTCACTTTGCACTTTCTGGGGTACTTTGTACTTTCTAGGGTGAAAAGAGTAGGCTTATCATCGAGCAATGTAAAAAACTTAATATATTTTCTTTCC